TGATGTTTACGTGGGCGTCACCTGTCTAATGTTGCACGCCGCGCACCGCAGTCAGGTCTGTTAAGCTTCATAATCAAAGTTACCTAGGTCTTCCGTCAAGGCTGTTCAAAAGAGTAACAGGAGACCTACATTATCCAACTAACTCAAGTGAATGGCTGTGGAGAACGCGAGTAATACTGTTACCCAGTACGTTCGCAACGGCCTGTATGCAGCACTCTCGCCATTCTGCTTTGCGAAAGCTGTGGAAATTGGTGAAACTGAAGTCATTTACGTCCGTAGCAATTAACAACGCAACGGTAGCGCAGACTGGGGTCTTTTTTGGTAGAGCGCAGAGCTTTTAAGTCTGCTGTTATTTTCGTTGCCATTAAGGCAAGTAAATCAGCAAGCACTTCACGGTGGTTCGGTGTCCGACTAGCGGAGAGAAATTCGTAGCTCTTTTTCTGAGTGTTCATTAAGCAAATACACCTAATATTTGGCTCAATCGTTGTTTCTTACACTGTATTTGCACCTGGTTACGCAGCAAACTGTGCAAGCATCTTCCATGTGTGCAAAGAAGTCGGGCTTTGAAATGCACAACTCCAAAGTGTGTCGACAAGTGGGGCTGCCTGTCGTCACGTCTATTGTTGCACCACAGACAACCGAAAATAACTGTCGCGCCGAAACTCTATGCCCATAGAATAAAGAACCAATTTAGGGAAAGGGAAGAGCAGCCTTGACCACAGTACGCAAGATAGGCAACGGCAGCCAAGAGACTGGGTTGCGTAAACAGAAAGCGTAGATTTTTCAGTGACTCTTTGTATATGCTATCTATATAGGGTAACTCTACGCTCCGTGACATATGGACGCCATCTGTTAGTAACGTCAAGAAACGAGAGTTTTCTTAAATGCAGAGAAGCTGGTAGATAGCAGCATCATGCAATTTTAGCAAAGCTTCAGAAACATTTGTTTCATCACGCATTGGGCTCTTGTGATCTGAATATATTTGCCCCAACGGCTATCACTGTCACCTTAGCCATGGCAGCGAGCAGAGTAGCTGCTTATGAATGGCTACGTGTACTGTAACAATACTGATTGTTGGCCTAGCTGCAACTTGCTTAATGGCATGCTTTGGCCGCAAATAACACAAACACAAAGTAAAGGAACAGACAACGCCGCCTGTGCTTGTCATTGTGTTTTCCTTTACTTTGTGTTTGCGTTATTTGGAGCCAAAGGATGTCATTGGGGCTACCAGATGCTGGGTGGAAGCAAAGAAATGCAGTTAGAGAAGTTGACTTCATTGCTTGTTCTTGCGGTAGCAATAAGTATTTATGCATTTTAAAAATCAAGTAACACACTACATATTACCTACGCTTTGATGTTGCGCCCAAATATGCAAATAGTAAATGCATTTGTTAGTGAACTTCAGCGACTTTGAGCGTTTCTATCTATCTATCTATCTATCTATCTATCTATCTATCTATCTATCTATCTATCTATCTATCTATCTATCTATCTATCTATCTATCTATCTATCTATCTATTTATCTATCTATGTGTCTATCTATCTATCTATCTGTCTAGGTGCCTATGACTTTTAGCTCTCCTGGACGTTTCCTTATTAGTATCAGTACCAAACTTGGTTTAACAAAACATGACTGTATTAAACGTATTTGACTAGTCATAACATAAAAACCATGATTATGTCATGAATGTCATGATTTACATTTGATGGTTCTGCAGCTCCTGCGGTGGTTTCGTTCACATGGCATGTTGCAAAACTGATATAGTATCACATGATTGCATGGCGAACACAAGCACAGACCCTAACAAGATAATTATGACATGCGTGTCACGTAACAACATGACTACATGCGATGCTCATGATGAGCTGGCGGTCGTTTTGCTAGCTTCACTTATACCAAATTTTCTATTACGGGACGTGAATGGATGACGAATGAATGATACTGGTGCAAACATGAGAAACATGAAATGCGTGTCATGTAACAACATGAGTACATGCTACAGTCAAGGTGGAAATACGTTCAGACGTGACGCGGTGCGCGTGCTCGCCGGCGTTCATTTCGTCGTGTCACGCCGGTGTTGCCACGCCATGCACCGGTCCTGCATTATACTCGCAGGCGCGCGCCCCGCTGCGTTGTTTTGACGCAGGCGCGTTTCAGCGCGTCCGGCGTCCCTTCGTCACGAAAAGAGGGAAACGCAGTGTTGTCTGGGTAATGCCTCGGCGCGAAATGCCGCTAAAAAAGGGAGACGCAGTGTTGTCTGGGCTAAGCATCGGCGCGAAATGCAGCATGTCGCATTTTGCGCCGCTTGCCATGGGGCCGCGCCAACAGACACTGGTCGCGCCTGGCGACAGACTATAGAGTGCTCGCGTTTCGCTAACGTAGCTTTGCTGTGCCCAGCGTGCGCGCGCGTCAGTGCTACATTGGAGTATATTGAGTCCTTCATGATGCGCTCACTACCGTTTTGCTAGCTGCACATATACCAAATTTGGTGTTACGTGATGTAATTGGATGCCGAAATATATGACTAGTGCAAAAATGATAATCTTGACTCGAGTGTCGTGTAAGAACATGACAACATACCACACTCATAGCGTGCTCGCGGCCGTTTCGCCAGCTCCCCTTAAACTAAATTTGGTATCATGTTACGTGAATATATGACGAAGGTAAACGACACATCCAAACATGATAATCTTGATACGGAGGTCATGTACGGCATCATTTACCTCAACCTCGTAACGTTGTGCTGGTTTAAAATTATACATCAACATTTCTCATTCCTGCTTCGCGTATCATCGATTCCCACTGTACGTGGGATCTGCCTTTTTTTTGCTTTTTGATTGACAATGTTCAGTAGTATGAACGCAACCAGGATATCAATATGGTGGTCGCTCAGCAAGGGGGGGAGGACTTCACTCCGATGGATGAATAGAATGACAGACAGACAGAGAGACCGAAGTTTCCACGTCATGATATACTAAGAAAGACTATCGCCTTGAAGAATGAAGATGATTGATTGATTGATATGTGGGGATAACGTCCCAAAACCACCATATGATTATGAGAGACGCCGTAGTGGAGGGCTCCGGAAATTTAGACCACCTGGGGTTCTTTAACGTGCACCCAAATCTGAGCACATGGGCCTCCTTCATTTCCGCCTCCATCAAAAATGCAGCCGCCGCAGCCGGGATTTGAACCCGCGACCTGCGGGTCAGCAGCCGAGTACCTTAGCCACTAGACCACCGCGGCGGCGCTAAGAATGAAATGCCCCAAATCTGAGCACGCGGGCCTCCTTCATTTCCTCCTCCATCGGAAATGCAGCCGCCGCAGCCGAGATTTGAACCCGCATGCACGTCCCGTCGTATCATTTTGGCTCTCATGTCACTCTGTCTGACGCGCTCATAGCCAAAATGACCACTGGGTGTCGGTGTCCTTGCTTCATCAAATTGCTGCCGTTGTTTTTCTTTCTTTTTTTTACGTGGCGGCTGCAACGGCACAGGTTTCCAAACCAGGCTCACGTCCTGATTTATGCTGGTCTATTAGCAAAACGAAGCTTAGTCAGCCTTCCAAAACCTGATAAAGTCAAGCAAACAAAATTGAGTTCTCTCAGCTCATCTAGCATTTTTGCAGCAGGCCAACTTGAACCTAAGTGAGCATAGCTATGATAAAACAAGCGCAATAGGTACGCAGACATAATTAAATTTAGTTTTAGGCTTATTATATTTATTTATTTTGATAAGACTAGGCTCGGTGATTATTAATTAGAAACTTCCTCAGCTTGAACATTCTCAGCTCATAAAAATACAACTTCAGTTTCTTTATTTGTGTTTCACTAAAACTTGTATAATTACACCTAATTACAAGCAGACAAGTTTGATGGTGCCATGATGAACCAAACTTAGACATTTTTAGGCTTACCTTGGCACTGCCTTATTAGCTTAGTCATGCATCACTAGACTAAATATGACACATGAAACTCCAGTATCTTTCTGGTGGGATTGATTATCAGAGAAATTAATTAACAATTACTAGAAGGCGTCTGAACGCTAATCGCACATACTTTAGTTTGACTAGTAGAGCATCAGTAAGGAGTAATTATTATTTTCCAGGGTTTGGTGCCTCTATAGGCTCATGGGTAAGTAGACTTGAGTTATTTGGTCGCGATAAGTTTTGCCTTATTTGGGCTAATTTTGCTCAACTAAATGATAGCATGATCGACTATGCATAATTGTATTTGGCTGTATTTGTACTTTTCTCTTCCCATCTGGGCCCATCGAAGCTTTACTACGCTAAACATAAAAGCAGCAAGCTGGACTGGGCTAAAGCTTACATGGGTTAAATAGGTGAGGCCGCACAAGGCTAAGCTACATGGATACCTTTCGATATTCACACTTCTTTCCACTCTTCTTAGCCTGCCACATAATCCACGTAACATTATTTTACAGACGTTTTTTAAATCCATCGTTGCTGCATGCAGATGTAATAAAGCAAGGAGAGGACAATGATGGGGACGGGCCAAGCACTGACCCCTTCTCTGTCACTTTCCTGTTTTTCGCACTGTTTTCTTGAATATGTACCAGCCAGGTCAAATAATTCCTTAGCTAGTTTAATAAGGTCCCGTTTGCACCACAGAATCAATTTACTTATCGTCATAAAATTCTTGTCACTCTGAAAACTCAGAATGCTAAAGAGGCCGTGCTTGCAATGTGCCATTACTGCTGCCAGCTTGGCACCTCATAAACACCGCTTATAATAATAATTTCGTGATCGTGTTGTCACTGCTGGCATTGTTTTTTGGTCAGTGAGCTTGGATCATTCGTCTAATCACGTCGTGTGGAGGCAATAGGGTTCTTTTCGATACTTTATTGCATAGAGGTCGCTTGCATGGAAACAATACACGTGCAGGCTCTCTTCCTTTAGGCTGTAGAAAGGTCTAAGCATACCGATGCTTTCTCCGGTCAAGGTGAAATATAACAGTTTTATTTCCTTCTTTCAATGCAGGCAGTGCTGCCCATAAATCCTGCAGCTCCCAACCAAAATCTGGAGATGACATACGTGAGTACTAGTCAGTTCATCAATGCGTTCAGTTTTCACAAAAGCACATACAATGGTGAAAAATGAGAAAACGACAAAAAAGCTACACTTGATGCAGCGCAAAGGACCACTCACTAGGCGCCATAAGAAATTTTAGTTAGACCGTGGAAGTTGTTGTGTGTTCGATTAGAAGCACTATGCCACAAACAAATTTTCAGTCGGTTCCTTACGAGTTGAGAAGCTGTTTTTCTTTTTTTTAAACAGGCGCGAAACGACGATGAAAGGAGATGAGCTCGAAATTCTTGACGATCCCCCGCATAGCCTTCGCAAGCCAAATCTCTTTCGTATTCTCTTCGGCATCCTACCTACAGGTCGCGTGCGCATGGCGTGCCCGTACTAGCCCAACCCCCAAGCACGCGAGTGGCGTGTCTGTGTTTGCCAGCGTTATTTTGTGGTCTACTGCCCGTTTCTGCGAGATGGTTTAGCAACACTCGCTTAGACATGGTAGAATATTTGAAGATGAGTGCTCGATTGCGCAGGAGCATTGATTTCTTTTCCAGCACAGGAGTCTGCTTGGTGCGCTAACCGCGGGAACACGCACGCGTGCGAAACGCAGGCACATAAGTCACGCATTTAGATGCGATTCACGCGGTGAAGTAGAAAAGACGCACACAATCCATTATTAAGTGCCATTGTTTATCACAAGTTTTATTCATCTATCCAAGCAACAAATTACATAAACTACACGTCTTTTCGCCATGTCTACTGTTGTCAAAGGCAAAGCTCAGTCGTATACGTACAGGGCCAACGTCACTGCACTGATTGCTTGAGTGGTTATTGAAAGGAGAGAAAAAGGTACCTAATTCTGTCTGCCTCTTGGGTGACACAATTGCCTTGTAGTGGAAGGGGGAAGGGTAATCAAAATGAATAGGGGTGATTGAGGTGTGTATATGCGTAGAAAGTCTATGTGTGTTCATCATGACTGGAGCAGCAAACAGACCACGGCAGGGGCAGAGACCGCAGGACCCAGCTGAACGGTAGGCAGCAATTCCCGTCTCGTACAGGAACTCAACCACGCTCCGGAGTGATAGCACGTGAAGATGGGACGGGAAGAGCAGGTGTTCCAGACTTGAGACAGGCATGCCCTGTCTGTGGTATGCCGTGGTGACCCTCGCGCATTCTTGAGCCAAGCCGGGGCAGACACAGAAAAAGAGCTCAAGGGTCTCACGGTCCCCGCAACGACTGCAGGCAAGGTAGGCACAGCAACCCTTCACGTACCGGCGGGCAGCGATTCATATGTAGCCGGTCCTCAGGCGCAGCAGGGCGGCACAATTCCTTCTGGTGAGGCCCGTCAAGAACAATGGCTTCTGTCCTCGTCCGTTGGCCACCCGGAAAACTGGGTGGACCTTGAGGAGGAGCCACTTCATTCTGTTGCGTGTAGTCTCTGAATGCAACGGCCCGAGTAAAAAAGGTGCCAGGCAGGTGTATGGCCTTGGCCAGCGCATTCGTCTTCTCATTGCCGGGTATCCTCACGTAGGATGGTATTCCGTGGAAGGAGAGGGACTTCCCAGAAGCAGCAAGAACCTGGTAATTTGTCGCCAGGAGATTTCTGGTCAACTTGGCACGTCGGGGGTGGGCCAGGATCTGCAGCACCGCAACAGGAAGCATCAGTATGTCCTCCATCAGAAGGTCTGCCACCAGGTAGCGCCCGGCCAGCTTCGCCAGGCTGGTGGCACGCATATCATCACCCCGTTATAAAGCGGATGCTCATAGCATCCATCTAGTCATCCACCATGGAGCTTGCTGGGAAGGGCAGTTTACGCTGCCTGCTACTCCTCCGTACAAAGACGACGCAAGCTGCTACCACAGTTCCGTCTCGAAACACCAATCTGTCCTTGTACATTTGCAGGCGGAGCTCCAGCTGCCTCTGGAGTTTGCAGGTTGCTGCCGGCTGTAGAGCCGCTGCAAGTGTTCTTCACTTTGATTCCCCATCCAAGTAGAGGTGCACCTCTGGTTGCCAGTGGTGCGGTGGTGGAGCGGCAGCATGAGCGGGCACAACTGGGACCATCTCGTGGTACAGTGGCATGAGGCTGCCCATCCGATACCTTGGTAGGTAGCGCAAGCGCGCCAAGAGAGCTGCACCGTCTGCTGCACAGTGGAAGCAGTCGATATGCCCCAACTCATAGGACCTTGGAGGTAGCGGCTTTGGCAGCGGGAATACAGGTGAGCCGTTGCGCGATGGTGAGGCCCACTTCCGTCCTCTTTGAGAGACCTTGGTTGCTCACCCTCAGACTCTTGACATAGACCCGTGCTGCACGGTTCAGCAGGGCCTCACTATTGGTTGCGGAGACCTTGAGGCGAATGCTTCTGAGGAAGGAGATCACTTCATCCAGAGCTACCTTCAACGTCGTCCGCGTAGATGAAGCAGTGGGCCGGGAACATGGTGTCTGTCGGGAGGGAAGCTGTAAATGCTGCTAGTGCCATGTTAAAAAGAGAAGGGCTCAGTACTGAGCCCTGTGGGACACCAGCTGTGATGTCCCTGGGCTGGCTAGTCCTTTCTCCGATACAGACGCGGAAAGCCTCGAAGCATCCACTGATGTCGAGCTGGTTCAGGGCCGCCTCAACAATCACGTGCGGGAGGCCATCAAAGGCGCTCTCCACGTCCAGCAGCAGCACCATGGCCAAATCTCTACAGCTCTGGGCTTCCTCCAGGGTAGCAACGACGTATGGTATGGAGTCTGCAGTGCAGCGGTATCGCCTGAAGCCTATGTGCTGCTCCGGGAAGTAGCCCAGTTGGTCGCCAATACACTGCAGTCTCTCCAAGGCCACCCTCTACCGCACCTTGCAGGCTGCCAATGCTTCAGGATGGGTGCCACATCCCCGTTGCGCCAGGAATCCGGGGGCATGTCGGTGTCCCAGACGTGGTTGTAGTAGTCCAGGGAACATTAACAGGCTCCTTCCTCGAGGTTGTGAAACATCTCGAAGGTGATTCTATGGGCTCCTGGAACGCTTCTTGGCTTACAGTCTTCGAGGGTTGCCACAAGCTTGTGCATCCGGATGGGTTCGTTGCACAGTTCCTCGATCTGTGCGATCACCCATCCTGAATGGTGGTAGGAAGCTGTACATGGGAGGGTGGTCGGCTGGGCTAGTGGGGCCAGCTGGGCGATGTCTCTGGTGGCAAACTGGTCAGCCAGGAGCTTAGCGAGTTTGGAGGCGAGAATTACCAGGTAGACTGCCACGAATAGCACCTGATTGAAGGGTCGGGGCACCATGAGTAGGCATCTGAGCAGGCGCCAGGCACTGGCACCATCCTTAGAGTTGCTGATCAAGTAGCAGGTGCTGCCCCAGCCATGGTTTCTGCGCCTGCGAACATAGCGTCTACACACTGCGTTGACCCTCTGTACCAAAGCCCATAATGCCGGTAGGACCCTCGTCAGAGCCTGTCGCTCTGCTCGCCGCCACGCTGCCCTCAGTGCCAGGTGCTTTATGTGCCGGATGGGTGGCCCCTGCTGGTCTGTGGGGACGACTAATGCCGTCCTAGCACTGTCGGTCACCAGCTGCATTAGGTCCACGGCACTTGCGCCCTCCTTGAAAACTGGCCGGTAGACCCGCCAATCAACCAAGTACTATTCTGGGCCCCTGGGAGCCTTTCCGCAAGACACGGCAGGAGGGTCAGGTGGTCGGAGCCCCACGTGTCTTTAACCGATGTCCATGAGTACTGGCATCCATCTGTGGTAGCACTGATGCTGATGTCCAAGCAGGCTGCCCGGCTCCCATAACGAATAAAAGTGGGGATGCCGGTGTGCCCAGCCCAGCTCCTGCAGGACGTCCTTTAGATCCCTGCCCCATAGGTTGGTCTTCTGGCGGCCCAATGCTGTGCGGTGTGTGTTGACGTAACCCCCGGGGGTTACAAACTCCCTCTCTAGCCTGTGTGCCAACTGTCATAGGCACCTGGGGACCCAAGGTTGTTTGGCCGAATGTACCTACTGGCCTGAGTGGCGTCACCCCCTCGAGGCATACACGGACAGCACAGCATTCGAAGGAGTCACCGACCAGGTCGGCCACCGATACCTCGGCCCGAGGGAGCTCGCGCTTCACGTAGACGGCACAGCCGACTCCCTACTTCGTGTGGCAGTCGTCCAGGCATGGTGTAGCAAGGCAGGCTTCCAGGGAGTACTCCGTCCTGCTACTATAGCCCACGTACCCCGGCAGACACAGCTCCTTAGACCGGAAATAACCTCCTTCAAGGCCTTGTAGAAGTCCGTGGGGTGAGTTGACATTCTACTGCTGAATGCTCGGACGGCGTGGAAGACGGGCCCGGGCAAGAAAACCAGCATTATCTTGCTGTGGGGGCTGCTGCAAAACCACTGCCTCCAGGCAGATGGCGCGTAGTGGGCGTTTTGCTGGCAGCAGGGTGGCGGCCAGCTTCATGAATAGTAGAAGGTTGCCTGCTAAGGTTGCACGGCGGGCTTGTTGGTTATCCATAGTATCAGGTATAGCGCATCCAGGGCATTCTTCCTATCAACGACTCCTTTCTTGTTTTAAATGCTGAACAGATACTAGAATTTGTCGGTCAGCATGCTGAAAAAGGATTGCAAGCTTTCTCGGCAGATATGGATGGACTGTAATATTCACTGCCCACCACCCAAGTAATGGCTTGCATTCATAAATGTACTGAAGAATTTGGAACTGTCAAATTTTAGAACTAAGTTGGTGTTTCTGCAGAAAGCTTTAAAGAGCTTCTTAGTTTTTTCTTGTCGTCGACTTTTATTACTTGGAAGGGATCAGCATATCTGCAGAATAATGATGTGTGTATTAAGTCCTGTCTCGCTTCGGTTTTAGGGAATTTGTACTTGGCTAACTTAGATGGAGACCTCAATGGTGTACTACAAGATTCAAATGTTCTTAAAGTTTTCTGTTTTGTAGATTATTTTCTAATATTTGTTGACAGCTCAATTCAACAGTTTGGGCAAGTGAGTTCCAGCTGTTCAAAATCACTGTTCAAAAGAGTCTAGAACTCC